GGTTGGCACTAACCCAGCAGTCATTAGCGATTGAACCCACGACCTCCTGAATACCAATTGTGTGCCTAACCAACTGCCCTGGCATCTCATTTTGTTCTGTATATGTACTCAAATACGCTTTCAAATGGGACGCTGGGTCCGGTTCCCAGCACGTGTTGCTCCCCACTAATAGATTGGAGCACTGTTCCCCAAAAAAAAAAAAAAAAAAACAGGAGCTAGGCCACTTGCTGGAAGCTTCACATTTCATACATGTGGTCAAGACTCACCGCCAAAAAGAAGTAAAGCATCACATTTTGTGCTCAATCTCATATGGTTGGATACGGATTGTGTATGATAGTGTTTTTTCTTTGTTTTGTTTTGTTTTTTTGAAGGGCGATGGCCTTGAGGTATTATCATCAGACTAACCAGCCAGGTAAATTCAACCTTGTGTCTAAGCTGACAACGGGTGGCCTTATTGCCATCAGGGCACCCCTGGTGGGGGACACCGGCCAGGGGCCGGCCCAGCTGGTAGCAGAGGGACCCAGCATCATCTGAGTGGCAAGTCGCTGTGCCTCCCCCAATCACCCCTCCCCCTATGAACATCAGCAGCGACTGCTTTTTAATGCCAATTGGGGGGACCAACGGGCTATCTCTAGGTGGAGGGCACCAAGCATGCCCAGGAAGGTACCTGAGGCCAATGGGGGATTGAACCCAAGACCTCCGGAATGCCACTTGCGTGCCTTACCAACTGAGCTAGGCCGCAGAGTGTTTTATTTTTCAAAAGCTGGGTGACTGTTTCTATTTTCTCACTTTCTCTTTTCACATGTTGTGCTGAATCTCATATGGATACGGATTGTGTATGATAGCGTTTTGTTTTTTTCAAGCTGGGTGACTGCTTTTATTCCCCTACTTTTCCTTAGCGCGACGGCTTTTAGATTCGATAGGGATTTGAACTCGTGTCTCGATTTCAACACTTCACGGGGGCAGTCGGCAGCTGACCAGTGTTTTGCCTTCTGTTATATATCAATTGCGCTGCTCTTGCGCTTTTGCGCTTTTCCGCAAGAAACGTGTGTACATTGCGCAATCCTGGTAGGTGGCGCGCGGTCTGTTTTCCCCTTTCCAGCTCTTATGGCCGCCGTCACTGCCTAGAGACATGCATTGTTCGCTCGCTGCCTGCTCATCGTTCTCTGTCCCTCCGTCCTTCTGTCGGTCAAAAGCGCACTCACCGTGGCCAACGGAGCCGATCACATCGGCGAGCGGCAAAACCCCGTTTGCATCATTCCGCAGCTCCAGTCTAACAGCCCAGTTCGTCCATTTTCTTCTGTCTGCTCCCCTCTGCTTCCATGACTGTTCCTGAGCGCTGTGCTCCCCTTCAGTTCTGTCTTTCTCGTTCCTACTGAACTGTCCAAGGATGTTTTCAAGGTATCACTCGAGGGAACCACGAGCCATATCTTGGCAGGGGTGCTCTGTGTGCATGTGTGTGTGTTTGTCTGTGTGTGGGTGTGTGTGTGTGTGTGTGTGTGTGTGTGTGAGAGAGAGAGAGAGAGAGAGAGAGAGAGAGAGAGAGAGAGAGAGAGAGGGCACAGGCCGACGTATTGGGTATCATAGTGAACGTCAGTGATCCAAGGGAACGAATGATCGGCGATCCGAAATGCATCGAGGGGAAACGAACGCATGGGTGGCATGCGACAAAGATCGGTTGTTGTTTCTGCATTTACCGGTCTGGCAGTTCGCCTATGGGGGAACAGCGCCGGCAGTTGAATCCAAAGGGAGGGACGAAGGGAAGTAGGAGGGGAGGGAATCGGCTGAAGAAGAATCGACAGCCATTTGAGAGCCCAACGGTTACCGTGGAGAAGCTCACAAGTAACCCCCAACCGGTCGCGAGATAAGTGATCAGGAGGCCGTGACCTTTTTTGTTTTTTTTTTATGACAACGATTGCTGCAAGACATTCTCCCCCCCTCCTCCGCCCCCCTCTTCCATTCTCGTTATTGTGTTCGCATTTGGCCGAATTCTAACATCACATCCTGCATTCGCTCAGTGTATTCCTGGTGTCACTGGTGTCACTAGTATTATTATTTGTCATCAAAGTACACTGGATTCTGTGTAGCGTCTGTTGCTAACCGCATATCTTCTTCTTCTTCTTCTTCTTCTTCTTCTTCTTTGCTGTTAGGGCATATTTTCTAATCTCTCAGGCCAGTCAATTTTTAGATTGAACGAAGGCACCACCACTACCTTTCCAAGGTGTAGTCCCATTCGGGAAAATGACCTCATCCGAAAAATTCGGGATCCGGGATAGGGTCCGTAGGAAAGGAAAAAAAAAAAAAAAGATTTTATTTTTTCTAAAAAAAAAAAAAAAAGGTTGGGACCCCGCGGGCCCTCGGTGAGGGGGAAAAAAAAAGAAAAAAAACATTAAGAACGTTGGGAAGGCTTTGAGGAGTGTACTATCTGGCCGGTATATGAGTAACGGGATTTCTTATCTTTTCGTTTTTTTTCTTTCTATTGTTTTTCGTCCCTGGCGATTTCCACGGGGGGCAGGTAACTGCCTCGCTCACGACATACTCACATCAGCACTGGAGCTTCTGTATCAGGCCGCGATTGCAGCATAAGGGAAGTTCAAGTATCGTCCTTTCGAGATCTGTGTTCCGTCCTCCCTTTTTTTTTTTTTTTTTTTTCAAGAGTCCAGAAGGACTACGGATCCGAAATCAACCCCCCCTAACCCCCCTGCCCCTCTCCCCCCTTCCCCCCCCCCCCTCCCTTTCCCCTTTTTTTTTTTGAAAAAAAGACCTGTGTTCCATTCTTGTGCCGGGGTGGTGGTTATGTTCTCTCCTCTCAGTCCTCTGTACGGTTCCAAACTTCTAGTGAGTGTTCCAAAGGACGTTCCTCCATTCAGCACTTGACAATGTTCCTTAGTGCACTATCTTTTTTTTTTTTTTTTTTTTACCCTTTGGGAACCATGCTCCAATCTATTCGTGGGGAGTAACTGTCAAATTATCGATTTAGTTGACTACCGTTTAACTACACTCAGCGATATCAGAACAATCATTTAACTTCCCAGCATTGACATTTGCTGGCTTGATTGGAAAGGAGCAACCAGAGTTAAATGATAGTTTAATGACAAACACACGGACCGAGTCTAACGGGTTAGGAACTGGTCAAGTGATATAACGGAGTGGAGTTTTGGTTTCATAAGATGATTGGGCTGAAGCTCTGGTGCCGCTGATGTCTCGAATTCCGGAAAAGAGACAGTCGTCTAAACCTCCAATGTCGAGATCGGTGGTCGGCACTGGTCGCACACCTGTGTCGAGATCGGGTCACAGCCAAGTACCTGGACTGGTCACACACACACACACACACACACACACACACACACACACACACACACACACACACACAGAGAGAGAGAGAGAGAGAGAGAGAGAGAGAGAGAGAGAGAGGTGTTTAGATGCCTCAGCCCTTCTCTTGTCTTCTCCCTTGTTTTTTTTTTGTGTTTTGTTTATTTTTTTAATAACAAAGCTATATTCTTCTCTCAATCTATCTATATATAGTCCTCTTTCTTATCTATCACATCCTTCCGCTGGTCCATATGTATGTATAGTACGGGGAACACCAACCAACCCGGATCTCTCCCCAGTCCACGGGGTAGGTTGACAGGAGTTGTGCGAGAGCAAGGCTGTACCAGCCCCTCATCATGGTGAGCACTCTCTCCCTCGATCATGACCGCTATGGTGAGCACTCTCTCTCTTTCTCTCTCTCTCTCTCTCTCTCTCTCTCTCTCTCTCTCTCTCTCTCTCTCTCACACACACACACACACACACACACACACACACGCAGCAAACTTCACAGATTTTGTTGCTATTCCACCGCTGTGTGAGTATGCCCTGCTTCCAGTGGAGTTCGAACTCAGGTCAGTTCAGGGGGTATACCAAGTTACCAACTGAACTAGGCCAGTCGGTGATAGCGTCTATTTCGAACCTGTCCTGTACATTTGGTTGAAGATGGATCATGGTGTTGACCGACGCAGTAAATTTTGCGGTTGTTGACGGAAGTTGTGTGTCGAACCTGTCTTACACTTGTCCATGTCTTAATCGAAGCAGGACGAAGGTGGTGATCTGCTGTTGCTCACCGACGCCGCCGAAGATGTCGTCCACTTTTCGTCGAAGCAGGTCGAAGCCGCCAGTGGTGTTTGCCGAAGCTGCAGTCGAGCCTTGGGCCTTGGCCTTTTCACCGAAGCAGGTTGAAGCTGATGATTACCGAAGCTAGTGCGGTGTTTACCGAAGGTGTGTTTTGGCGAACCTAGTGTCGAACCTACCAGTAGTGTGTTTTGCAGTTTTCATCGAAGCAGGTCGAAGCTGTGGTGTTTGGCGAAGCATCTGCTGGCGCTGACGGAGGCGCATGCCGGTGTTTAAACCGAGTCCAGTGCCGAAGCTGGCGTCCAACTCCCCGTTAAGCCCGGTCGAAGCTGGGCTGGTCTTCGACTCTTTGCCGAAGCTGCTGTCAAACCTGTGACTCTTATTCTTGCACCTTCCGTCGAAGCAGCAGGTCGAGGGCGGTGTTGACCCAAGCATCTGGCTGCTGCTGACCGAGCCACCTCAGTGCTGCTGTGCTGGTGTTTACCTAAGCTGGTGCCGAAGCTATCTGTCACTTTTCGTCGAAGCAGGTCGAAGCTCGTGTTTGCCGAAGGGTGTGCCGCAGCTGTCGACTGAAGAGGCAGGCGTACTAGTACGGTAGTACGGTACTAGCACCGTCTTCCCCCGAGCACAACGCACCCTGATTTTGGCTGCATCGGGCTGGAGAGACGACAGCTTGTATACACATTCGTTATGAAGGTGCGTTGTGTTCGGGGGAAGATGGTTGTCGTTCAACGTAGAGAAACGCACGCGGCTATCAACCACACATTCTGTTGCCAGATGAAGAACTGACCAGGATGCATGAGGCTGTAATTCTGTCTACGTGCATTTTAGCCTTCCGTTGCTGGACAAGGACATAGAGACTGGTAGCGATACTAGTCAGCAAGACGGGGCTCTTTTAATAATAGATTAGAATATAAAACGCTCCTCCTGCTTAAACTCGTGCACGAGCAGCACGACGCGACAGTCATGAAGGTGGTTTTCAGTCGTGTTTGTGTGTTGATCGGATCCTGGAGCGGCTTGGTGCTGTTTGCGTTTATTGCAATGGTGCATTTACACGGTGGAGACGTGGGAGTAGGAGTACCATATAAGCCTTACGGTGATGTAGCACCGCCTTGGCCTGAGCTCGACAGCTTGTCAGAACTGACTCGAAGTCCGTCATTCGACTCTCAGACTGAGGGTAGCAAACCAAGGACAATGCATAATAGACTCCATAGAGGCGGAGAGGAGGGCGAGGAGGAAGGGGGGAAGGAGGAGGAGGAAGAGGAGGGAAATGTCGGGGATGATAGACCCCCAGACAAGTACAGAGAGACTCTGCGGCGGCCAGGTGAGGCAAGCTTACAAGTGCGCGGTGATGGGGGATCCGAGGGTGAAGCGAGGCCCGACCAGCTGTCGGACGAACGCCCAGCGTCGACTTCTGAATCACGACGAGAGTCAGGAGGGCAATCAGGAATTGGGTCAGGTTCGCCGCCAGGTTCGGCGTCCAGGGGACCAACCTCTCTGACATCCTTGAGAAAGGGTAAGGCTCGGCTGACGAACGGAGGGGGTGCTGACGCGCCGGACCGTAGCCGGCAGCTCGACCCGTCGAGCCGTCTTCGGGCACAGGATTCCCGAAGGGGTGTTGCACCTGCTCGTAGTGCTCCTGCACTCGGAAACCTCAGCGAATCGGCAGATTCGGCACTACCGGTAGGAGGAGCATCCACTCCCGTCGAACTAAGTTCAGGTGGGTCTACCGGTAGTAGTCCAAGCCGCCAAGCAGGCCACCGAGACCTACAGAAACGAGCAGCTGGTCATTATGCCGCCTCATCGAGTAGTAGTAGCGGTCGTACTAGCGGTAGTAGAGAGAATGTCGCGGGGGTCATTCGCAGTGGGACTGCCGAGAGAAATAAAAGCGACCAAAAAATACAGGCGAACGATTGTCCAGCGGGCGTTTTCGCGCGCAATCGGATCCGCTCGGCTGCGGATTTCGAAAATGTGGGTTCGATCCCGTCATTCTTCACACGGCTTCCGCGACCTGCGCCTTCGGCAGCGCTGGAGTCCTCCCAGGGGCGTCGCGATAGTCGCGCGAGCCGTGGCGGCGGCGCCACCACCGACACTGATGATTCGAATCCGACCCGGCGAGATACGGCTCCGCAGCCTCCGCTCACTCGGCGGTTGACTCGCGCCGCGGTCGTCCCCTACTCGAATACGACGAAGATCCCTGACCATGTCTTTTTCCTAAATATGTACCACGAGATCCGTGGGTGCGCCCACACTCACTGCTCTGTCGAGAGCTTCCTGAACAAGAATCCGAACTACACCGTCTACTTTTACTCCAGCAACCAGACGTACTTCCGCACCAAGTGGTCAGAGCGCAAAGACCCGCGCATCGTGCTCAAGAGCTTCGATTTTGTCGAGATATTTCGAGGCACGCCGCTAGAGAAGTGGTACACCTCCGGCACTTACCGAAACACCAGCTGGATCCCGAATAATCTCAGTAATGCGGCCAGATACGCGCTGCTTTGGAAATACGGCGGGACGTACCTGGACATGGACTTCATCAGTCTCAACGCTCTGCCTGTGGGGTTAGGCAGCGCACTGGCGGCGGAGGACGACAAGTCGATCAACAACGCTTTCGTACGGTTCGCGCCCGGGCATAAGTTCCTCCTGGAGGCTATGGAGGATTTCGTGCGGAATTTCAACGGCTACGAGTGGGGCAATCAAGGGCCCAAACTGCTGACACGTGTCTATATGAGAAACTGCCTGGACATCAACGCCGTCGAGGAGTGGCTGGTGTCGCATAAGAACGTGTCGAGAGACAAGGCAAGAGCTCGAGCCCGTAGCAACACGGGGGGGCATTTGAACGCGAGCCGTCTGTCTGCTTCGTATATTGCTCCTGATTTCTGCTACGATCTTCCCGTGTTGAGCTGGGAATACTGCTACCCGATCTACTGCGGACAACCTTGGGAGTTTAAGCAGGCATGGAAGAAGTCGTGTAAGCAATGGCGGCAACGCCAAGAGAAGGCCATCATGGTACACTACTGGGGGCACTACTTCCCCCACAACGACACCTTCGACAAGGACAGCGTAATGGCGGAGATGATGAGAGGGACATGTCCGCGCACATACCATCAGTGTGGTTGGGAGAGCCGTGGCTTATAACTGCTGGGCTGTCTGGTAGGTCTACTTAGTTACCACCCCCCTCCCCCCTTCC